CTTAGGGCATCCCAGGGCCCTCTTAGATACTGCTGGACTGAGGCCCTCCAGAGCAGAGCCTGGAAGGCACTGGCCAACAGCAGACTGCTGGAGGAGGATGGGGTGCTCACAGGAATATTGACTGGCTTCGCAGCCAGGGTCCTGGGTCCCTAGAACTGAGAGACTAAAAGGAACAGATTCACAGTAGCTATGTTAACATAGTAGCCTGGTGTCAGGGTGCTTTAGGGACTCTGCAGCTCTCTGTGCCTGATGAGCCCCTTCTGATTGGCAGGGAATGGTAAAGAGATGACAATGGGCATCCACCCTGACCTAGACTTCCCAAGCTCTAGGTGGTTCTGTGTTTGCTGCCTAGAATAACCCAGGATAGGCAGCTCCTCAGGTATTTACCAGCCACCCCGCTCCCTACCCCAGGTGCTCAGCAGGGAGACCCCCTTTCCCGTTACATCTTCAGGAAGGCTGGTGAGGTGCTGGGCCGGCATATCATAGCAGTGCTGCCTGAGATTGACCCGGTGAGTAGAGGTGGGAAGTAAAGGTGGGCAGCTGCTAGGCCAGATTTGGCCCTTTACTTTCAGTGATGGGGCTGCCACATTCTATCCAGTCCTCTCCCTTCTCTCTTTCCTCTGTATTGTTGCTGCTTACCCCTTTTTCTTCCTCTTCTCTCCTTTGCCTTTGTGAATTTCCAGTTTTCCGGTTTTTTTTCCCCTTCCTTGAGTCCACCTTCTGTTTTTTGGCTAGAGGAGATGATCTGGGATGGGTGGGTGATCTGAGGAAGCCACCCCTGCAGCACTGGACTTGGTTGGCCCAAAGCCTACATTTTCTGTCCTCTTTCCAGGTCTTGTTCCAAGGAGAGATGGGCCTCCCCATCCTGTGTGTGGGCTCTGTGTGGAAGAGCTGGGATCTGCTGAAGGAAGGTAAGTCTCGGGTGGGAAAGAGGGGGGAGGGCAAGGGCAGAGGATAGGGCTAGGAGGAGGTGACCTAGGGAAGCTGGCTCCCCCTGGGAGAACTGGGACCTAGGCCTGAGGACAGGCTACTGATGCCTCAGCCTAAGGCCTTCAGCCTTCACTGTGCCACTAAGCCTGTTTTACTATGCTCCATCCAACTTCTTGATTTTATTTATTTTGGTATGTTGATTGAACCTAGCATCTTATGGATGCTAAGCATATTCTCTACCACTGAGTTATACCCTCAGCTCCTTAAACTCCGAAAAAGATGTTATATTCCAAATGATTTATTAAATAACCACTTTTTGAAACCTAAAGTCAAATCTGAGAATCAGAGCTCTGCCCACCCTGTGATGACCCGTGGTGATATCCCTAACATAACTTCTTAGCCGGGCAGCCTTCTCTCAGGCAGTTTCATGGTTTCTATTTGACATGCTACAGTAGCTTAAGGACCCCCCAAGGGAGTTCCTGGCATTGCATGCTCTGTAGCTGAAAGTCAGGTCATCAGGCTGTTGGCTCCAGCCCCACAGCTGTTTCTTGGTCCATACACCCTGTGTGCTAGATGCTTGGCATCTGGGCCCTTCCAGCATCTTCACAGAAATGCCTGGACATCTTTGTCCCCTCTTCTTTTCCCAGTTCTCCATACAGGCCATTGGTCTTGTCTCATTTCTGCCTTTGCATTCTTCCTTCCAGGTTTCCTTATGGCACTGACCCAGGGGAGAGAGATCCGGGCTCAGAACTCCTTCTCTGGCTTCACACTGATGAAGCTGAGGTGCTCCTCTGCCCTGGGTGGGGCCATCTTAGGGGCCAGGCACGTCGGGCACCTCCTCCCCATGGACTACAGTGTCAATGCCATTGTCTTCTACTCCCACACCTTTTCCTAGGGGCCTGGTTCTGGCTCCACCCACTCCATACCCACTGGACATTGGATGTTAGAAGGAATTTTTTTCTTTCTTCTTTTTCTTCTTCTTTTTTTTTTTTTAAAGAAAGCACTTATAGCAGAAAATAAAGGCACTTTAACCAGTCCTCAGTTGGATTGTGTTATCAAGCACCTATGCTGTGTACATCTTTAGTGCACCTCCAGCAGATATCCCGGAGGGCTCAGGAATGGTTTTGTCCAAGGTTTAAAGCCCCAACCTCAGGTGCTTGGTCTATGGTCTGCATCTACTCATCATGCTCTTGGGCACATATTTTATCTGAATCACCCAAATGTATCCCCATTACCATACATACATGCTGTGTGGCTGCCAGTTAACCTGAGTCCTCAGTTTTCTCCTGTCAAAGAGCGAAATGATTCCTGCTTTACCAGTCAATGGAACTAAGTAGTCTCCTCATTAAGAGCAACCTCAGGCATATCACTCCCTCCTGAGGGATCCAGAGGGATTTAGGGGATGGTACAATTTTAGTCTGGGAGAAGTTTTACCTCACTGGATTTGATAGTTGTTAAGTTGTAGTTTTTCATGTGAATGAATTCCTAGGAGGATTGCTGAGATCCAGGGCCACCTAGACATCTACCTATTCCTGGCTGCTCCTGTCCTGGTTAAAGCATGAAACTTTGTATTTGTTTTGTGGCCTTGGAAATAGTGAGCGTCAGTGAGGAGCATACATGATTCCTATCCCCTGGTTTCTGTAGTTTGACCAACAAAGACAACCATAAAGCTTCCTGTTTTGCTGCCTGTGCAGCTTGATGACTAAAGACGCTCTTTTTTTGGTACCGGAGATCGAACTCAGGTCCTTGTGCTTGCGCAGCAGGTGGCCAAACCACTGAGCCAAATCCCCGGCAGGACACTCTTGACCCATAGTGGCTCCCTCTGCAGGGGTCCAGAGTGTAACAGAAGGCATGGATCATGTCCTGGACATCAGTTCTCAAACTATGCATCAATTCTGGAGTTTATTTTAAAATCAGATTTCTGTTGTCTTCTTTCCTCCTCTCCCTAAGTGGTAAAGGATGGGTGAGATAGGTGAGTTTTCTTTTTTCTTATCAACAACAAAAATGATAAGATTTTGCTATGTTGCCCAAGCAGGTCTGAACATCTGGGCTCAAGCAATCCTCAGCCCCCAGAGTAGCTGGGAATATAGGCAGGCAGCCACTGTGACCTGCCAGTAGAATTTTCATTTCTACTAAACTGATTAGGTAAAGGTAACTTCTGCTGCAGATATCCAGCACCTGTCTTTGAGGGAGTTTGACACTGTAGCTTTTGAGTTCTGACTAGCCCCTCTCAAGGGTTCACAGATACTATCTTGTTCCCTAAGTCAGATGACTGTTCATTCATAGTGTAGCATTCATACAGAACAGAATGGCCGCAGCTCTCATCCCATCAGCAAGCTAGAGCTTTGAGCAATAAGAACTCAAGTCAAGTCCCTTCTGAAGGGATAGTCAGCTAGCTCTGTCTCCAGCCTTGACTGTGGGGGTCCAGCACTCAGCATGTCTCCAGCTTGCAGAGAACAAGGACACACCAGTAGCACCTTTGCTATATCTCACAGTCCTAATAACATTGTTGAGTGTTGAGCTTGGAGGTCTTGTTTTTTAACATGCTTTCAAGATTAGGCTCAGGTGTAGACTTCATAAATACTGAGACTTACTTATATTCTTTACATATGGACATCTATCCTCCTTACTATTGTCCAGACTCTGCAATTCCAACTGGACAGTGGAGGATTTAGAGCAGAGTAAAAAGCATATCTTTTTAGTCCCAGTATATGTGTTGAATAAATGTTGTTTGAGAAAATGAAGACAATTTTTTTTGCTCCTGTGCTGGAGATCAAACCTAGGGCCTCATACATGCCAAGCAAGTGCTCCACTACTGAGCTGTATCTCTAGATCAAAAAAAAAAAGATAGTCGTAAAATGCATAAGGTCAGATATCTTCCTAGTTCCTATCATATTGAGTAGATTTGATGCGATTGCTTATTCTGCAATTAGTAAGACTATGTTACACGGGTTACTGTGCAGAAAATCATGAGATTTTTTTTTAGTTTTATCCCATTAAAATTTAATTTTCCTTCACCTAACAAGATACCAAGAGTAATTCATGGGGTACTGTACTACCGAGGCATCCCTGTAACAGTCCCATGACAAGATAAGAGAGCAATAAGAGCTACACTTAAGAGGCTTTTATCGGGTAGATAGCTACTATAGTTCATTCTTGCTGGAAACACTGAGCTGCCAGGAAATTCCCCTTGTTTTATTCTAGTACATGTGATGAAAGTAAGTACTGCTTGCTTGTTTACTGAAGATATTAAAGCTCATTAACAATACTTTGTTCATACATATATACCAAAGGAGCTGGGGATTTAGCTCAGTGGTTCCACTGACTGCCTCGCAAGCGCAAGGTCCTGAGTTCAATCTCCGGTATCAAAAAAAAAAAAAAAAAGGAAAAGGCCCTAGTCTGGTCCCATGGTCTTTTTACTAAATGATAAATTCCCTAAAATCATTGGGAGATTCCAAATTAGGTATAAACTGAGCTAAGTACAAGTCACTAAACTTATCTCAATAGCAGGTCCTATGTCTGCTTGTTAACCCAGTAGTCTCAGTGCCTAAGAAAATGGTATGTAGCAGGCTCTCAAACTTGTTAAGTGGTTAACAGGAAGATATGGAATTCCTTTCCTTGTTTTCTAAGTAGGAGGTGGTTTGCCCAAAACAGAAAAATATAGTAATGACTATTCAGTTTTCCTTGTAGCCCAAGGATTCCTTTACCACTTCTTTGTTCCAAGTACTGTATATATATCACCACTAATAGCTACCATGTATTAAGTATCTTTAATGTGCCAGTCAACATTTAAAATTCTAATTTTCATGGTAGCCCCAAGGAGGTGTCATACCTTTAGAAATAAAACTTAGGCCAAATGACACAAATAAAAGTTGGGAAAGTGAGATTAACTCAGGTCTCTGACTTCCAAGTCCATTCTTTTACCACTTTCTAACCCTATTTGGAAGGAAAAATGCAATGGAAACTGATTATCTTGAGACCAAAAAAAAAAAATCTCACCACATATTTCCCCAATAGAAGGATGATCCATAGTGACCCAACCTTAGGAAAAGGATACCACTGCCAGCAAGTACATTTTATTCTCATTTTATTGAGATTTTCAACAGCTGCCATTCAGTTTGTATAGCAATTTTTTCAAGTGACTTTTTTCCGTTTTTATGAAAATTATTTTGTTTTAAATCCCTTTCCCTCCCCCCAAACAGTATTAATAACTGCCATGTAATGTTTATTTAGGAGGGAAGAAAAGCCAGCTTTTAAACACTTGTGAAGCAGAAACATGATTCTAGACCTAGGCCAGCTGAGGTGCCAGGCTGCCCAGGTCACCATTAACACTTGTCACCATCCACAGCCAGCTGGCGGGCCATGCACAGACCCTCTGGGGCTTCTTATTCCACAAGCTCCATTCCTTTTTCCTTTCCACCTCTGTTGTGGGCCCTCTTTCCCTCCAAATGTGTCCAACAAAGGCAGTACAACCTTTAATACATGGTCAGTTTTATAAATGGAGACATGACACTGTATGTAGAAAGTTCAGAGATTCCCCCATCCAGTCTAGGGGGAAAAGAAACATCCAGCACAGCACTGATGGTTTTACTTGCTTGTCCACTCAAGCACATGCTCATTGAATGGATCTATCAGATGCTTCAAAAATCCTGATGTGTAGCAGACAGCATAAAAGTTGCTTATAAAAAAGAAATTGAAAATTATAAAAATCTGTGCAGCAGCTGAGGCTCCTTTTATGGAACTTCTGATAGCAAAGCTGGTTTTGAAAAGGAATTTCTTTGACATACACAGTAGCTTCCCTTATGGAACTCTACGTTTAGAGGCTTCCATTTGGACCATAGGAAGTTGAAATCCAAGTTTAAAAGGTTCTTTGCTGACATAATGGCATACCCATTAATGGGATATTGTTCAGCCATAAAAAGAACCACCAAAACATGTCACGGACAAGCCTCAAAAACGTGCTAAGTGAAAAGAACCAGATGGCACATAGTGTACGATTCCACTGACGTGAAATGTCCAGAAAAGGTGTATATACAGAAACAAAGTGATGGGGATGGGAGCAAGGGCTGACTAAATGATCATGAAGGATCTTATTGGGAGGGATGAAAACATTCTAAAGCTAAGTAATGGTTATGGCTACACCACTGAGGAAAGTTACTGAAACCACCAACTTATACACTTGAAATGTGAGAATTTACTGTAAGTAAAATATGCATCACTAAAATTGTTTTTTAAAAAAGAACTCCCTGCTTAACCAACCACCTGTCAAGCATTAAGCATTTTTGAAAGCTCACAACAGGACAGAGTGAAACATCTTACTATTTTATAGAAAATATATTTTATTATTTATAAGATAGTAAGATATTTAAAATGTTTATTATTGTGGGGCTGGGGATTTAGCTCATTAGTAGAGTGCTTGCCTGGCATGTGCAAGGCCCTGAGTTTGTTCCCCAGCACTGAAAAAAAATGATTTCCATTTTTTAAAAGTATTAATCTAAAAGTGTTTATTATTTTTAAATAAAAGATAGCCAATAAAAAGGTATAGATATGGGGAAGACAGCTGAACAAATCTTGCAATGAGACTCTTAGCAACAAAATCTGAGGAGGCTTTAAAAAGTTTGTAAAATAAAGATGGTGCATCTGTCGCTTTACAGATTTCTCTCCTGTCCTCTGGGAGGGGAAGTATGCATCTCACGGCTGACACCCTATAAAGATCAATGTATCCATATGTCCTATTCTCATGAATCCCCTAAAAATGAGACTAGGAACAGCAGTAGGGGGTTGGGTAGTGAGGGCTAAAGACCAAGTAATATGAAGGAAATTTGAGTGTTAATTTGGGTAGGCTTCCTGCTCCCTTGTCCCTGCCACAATAGCAGCCTCAGTATGGGAGAAGATGAAAAGGGTGGGGGGATGCTCTTTACAAATTATGACTAACCAAGTCTGTGGATGAAATTCACAGGGAGCAGAGCACACAGGCTGTACCTTACAGAGCAACCAGCAGAACTAACAATCCCTACAGGCAATGAAGAGTGAAATGACTCATGAGGGGAAGTGTGGCAGGAGATCAAGGTCTCAATAAACACCAAATCAGGGTCATTTCACAGGTTTTCTTTATACACTTGTCAAGATAAGGAAGGATATTTACATTATCCTGGAGGAGAGTGGCTGGGAATACAATAGGGGACAAATCTTGGTCAACTTTGTCATTTTTCTACCAATTCCTATACCTCAGTATTACTAGAACCAAACAAAGTTATTAGCCTGTAATACCAAGACCCTTACTGAAAGGCTACCCCACCAGTCACCAGAGGGTGGATTCTGGAACATAGGCAGTTACTCATCTACCTAGGGAAATGGTGGCAGACTTACCTACGGTAAGTGTGCCATAGTGGATTGTTATCACTGAAAGCCCTAAAGTGTTTGCCATCACTGACCTAGGCTTTGCAGGAGTCCTAAGGCAAGAAGATTCATTCCAATTGTTTCCTTTAGCTACATCTCCACACAACTTTCCTAATATGTTAATTGCCATTGTATTCATCTGACCTCATTAGCCTCTCTAAAATCAAGACAAAACTCTGACATAGCAATACATGATTTGGGAAATGCTGCTTAGTATTTCACTAAAAACATTTACTTTTAAGCCATAGTTAGCATTATAATCTCGATTAAAGATATCTTAGCTATGACTTTAGAAACTGAGTTTTTTAAAAGATCCAGTCTTTTCTTTACAATCTTTATGGCCTGCCCTTACATGATACCCAAAAGTCAACTTACTGTAGACAGAAACTGGCCCAAGACCCAGAGCAGCATATGCCCAGGGCTAGGTTATATTCTCCAATTTTCTGTTGCAGTTCAAAGGTCTGGAGAAACTGAAAAGACATTCTTTTAATTTTTTTTTCTTGAAGAAAAAGAAATTATTTCCACCTTAGAGTTTTCTAGTCAAATAAATAATCACAATAATCAGAAATTAATCACTAATAAACTAACACTGGAACCAGCCAGATTGGCAACTGTTAAAAAATACACATTCCATTTCTATATAAATTCTCAAACTTCTAGTTGCCAAAACAAAATAGAGTAACAGCTTAAACTCAACATCAAAATCATCACTTATAAATACCAGCATTGTCATTAAAGGGCAAAAGTGTCCAGCCTGGCTCACACCCAGAACCTCTACTAAGAAGAAAAGTCTGAAATTGAGGAGCCCAGCCCTTATTTGGTGAAAGGCCTATAAAACCCACATGACTTTTATGCTAAGAAGTTGGCAAACTCTTTAGAGGTTTGGGGATTTAGCTCAGTGGTTTTGCCGCCTGCTGCACAAGCGCAAGGATCCGAGTTCGATCCCCGGTACCAAAAAAAAAAACTAATTCCCTTTAAAAAACAAAACTCTTTAGAGGTGAGCCTGATGCCTGAGGGACAATTGTGCCCCTACCTCACAAAATAAATTAAATGCAAAAGAGTTGGGCCATAGGAGCAATCACTGGAGGCGCTAGTCCTATGCCTTAAACAAGGGATCATCTTGCTAGCTGCTTCCTGATCCTGGAGTCAGCACACTGCCTATCTTTGTAGGTCAGGAAACTCTAGCCCTCAGGTTCCAGGTCATCCGGTAGAGTTGTCTTAGTCTTGACCAAATATGCTTTGTGAAACCATGTTGAAGACTGACATCCAAAATGGGCCAGCACAGCAGAGGGCAAGATGAGCCCTCTTGGACCACACTCAGAACCTTAACTTATCCTAGTATCAGAAAAACAAACCTTCAGGATGGACACATAGCCACTCTGGGTCCTTGTAGGACTTTCCAGATGGGTCGCCAAACAAGAGTCTATTATATTCTTTGTGATGGAGATATCCAGGGTCTTGAAAAAGGCTCTTCCTGAAACTCCAACACATTTCCAACAGCCTTCAATTCACCATTCTGAGCTTAGACTGGCTAATGCAGACTGGAGCAGGAACAGCAGCCCCAGGAAAGAGATTTCCTCTATTTATGTACAATGGACCCTCACGTTATGACTGGCCTGACATACAAACAACTTGGGTTACAACCAGAATTTTAGTTTTAACTTATGAACAAAGTCTTGAGTTTCAACCCCAATGCTGGCCACTTGTGCTTCTAGATGATCTCAGATACAGATTTAACCCTTAAAAAATTCTGGAAGGAACATTACAACATCCTTTGTTGTGTGGGGGTTGAGAAATACTGGGCAAATGTCTTTCTAAGGACACTGAGATCTGCCTGTATAAAGGAGAGAGACGTTGAAGGCTGTGTGGAGGAGCTTGAGCCTTCAACCAGCCCTTGTGAACGAACTGAGTTCGTAAGTCAAGGATCCACTGTACTTCCAATGCCCTTTCCAACAAACCCAGCTGAAAGTTGGAGTAAAGAAGTTTCTTTATTCAGAGTCCTCCCTCAAAAAGAATTAACAGTTGCATTCTCTTGAGCAGAAGCTTTGGAAATTAATGTGCATGTCTGGCAATGCAAGTTCCCTAAGCTACCCTTCCAACCTTATAAACTGAGGGAAAGATGTAGGTTTGTATTTTGAATTTGGCATTAGCCTGTACCTGTTCAAAAATGTCAACAAGGGGCTGGGGTGTATCTCAGTGGTAAAGTACATTGCCTAGCATGTGCAAGGCTCTGGATTCAATCCCTGTTACTACAAAAAACAATTCAACAAGTGGGTTCATAAGAACAAGAATTTCTTCCACTTTCCACACCCTAGTCCTTTCCTTCCAACCTCTGCCCTATATCCACATACTGAATTTACACCAACTTTATTTCAAATTACATGATTTTTCCTTTATAGGGCACCACACAGCCCAGTAGCAGTCATACAAAGGCCACTACATTCTCAGGCCTCTACAAGTCCTTGTCCTGAGAATGACCAGAACTGGACACATTCTCTTTCACACATGACACCGCCATCTACATCTCTATACATAAAGGCAGCTCTTGGTGCACAGGTTAGTTCCTTGGGAGTATCAACCAAAAAACCTCAGCATTATAGGCATGGAAGACAACAGGAGCTCACCTAGAGAGGTCAACCTAGAAAACTCAAAAAGCTGGGTGTGTGGGAATTGTAACATTTGATAATACCTTTAACTGTCTCAGAGGATCAGGTTCAATCATGTGGGCCAAGAAGGACTCCCAAGTCATTTCTCAATTCTTTTGCATAATCCTGTAAGGTGAGGAGAAGCATACACATTGTGTAATGAGCTTCTTGCTAGTGTCCTGAAAAACATATTTCCTTGAAAAAGTGAATAACCTTTCTGAGGAAATTAAGATACCAGGAGAACCAAGTGTTGATGGGGTTACAATATAATAATACTAAAAAAAATAGTAAGTTGTCCTAATAAATTTAAGATGTAAAAAATATGATTCAAGGATGATTTCTCCAGGCCAAGCTGATGGCCAGAAGGCCTCTCATATACTTTTGGTAACATCTTAGAAACAGTAGGGCTGGGATGGAAGAGTCAAGGGGAATAGACACCATGGGGGGGTCAAGATGGCAAATCAACCCAAAGTTCTCTTTCATCTAATAAGGATCTAATGGTAGCTGTAAATAGAGGCTTAAGAATAGGACAATAGTTACTAAATGACTGAAGTGACAATCACTATGACAATCTTCCCCTTCTTTTTACAACTTTCACCAATCTTCAAAAAGTTACCATAAACCAAGAATAGCTCTTTTTGGAATGGGGTTTAGAGCAGGGAGATAGGAGCTCAGCAGGCCATTGAGAACCCCAGTGCATTGTGGAAACCCCAAGGGTCATGGCAGCTGGGCTTCCTCCTCTGGTTTGTGTGATCTGTTTCTTCAGCTTGAAGAAACATTGAGCTTAATAGACTCCACAAGTAGATCTCTGCTGTTCCTTGCTCCTGGTACGTATACAACAGGTGAGAAGGGTATTTCTAAAATACCCTACTTTGCTTGGTCAGCTTATTTTAATATAGACAGCAGGACATTCTTTTTTTTTTTGGTACCGGGGATCAAACTCGGGACCTTGCGCTTGCGAGGCAGGCACCAGAACCACTGAGCTAAATCCCCAGCAGGACATTCTTGATCACAATTTCCTTAACTCAGAAGAGCTAATTTGAAACAAAACAAGAAACTGCTCCAAATAAAAGTCAGTAGAACAAAAGAGAAATAAATACTCAGAGGCTTGTAGTAAGACTGAGCACATTAGCCACAGTACCCATCTAAACCACCATTCCCCATCCCGGCTGTGTACCCCTTGCCCACCCCACCCCCTCTTCAGCTCTGCCCTTTTGTGCACTGCTATCCCCAGATGTGGGGACAGGTAAGTCCTTCTCGAAGCTTTCTCTTGAATCAGTACTTCACTCCTGGAATAAACTCCTTGGCATCTGGGTTCAGGTTACTTTTGCTCTGAAGAAAAAGAAAGAAAAGAAAAACCAAGTGATAATAAATCCCAAGGCAACCTACACTTTACAAATTATTTTCTCCTCACTTCTTTTTTTGGAGGGGGGTAGTGCTGGGGATCAAGTCCAGAGCCTCACACATGCTAGGCAAGAGTTCTTTCACTGAGCTACGTCCCTACCTCCCTGCTGCGCCCCCTTCCCCTTTCTATTATAGCCAGTACCGTCCTTTTAGCCTCATGTAGTGAGAAAAAGAAACTTCCTGTAACGCAGACTGGACTGCTCTCAGTTGCTCCTAATATACTCAGCCCTGAACAAGCTCATTTTCTCTTTCTTGCTTTAGACTCCATTCCCTTCATGATTATTTTCCAAAATTTCAGCAGAGGCCTCTAAGTTCAACTCCAAAAAGAATTCTTCAATTCACTGAGTACATTAACTTGGTGAAAATAAGGGTATTCTATGAAACCAGTCAGGTCACCACAATCTCTATTTTTCTTCATCTTTCTGTACTCTCTTTGGTTATCTACTCTCTTCTAATTACCTCACACTTGGGAAAACTGCAGGTCACAATCATTCTGAACATGATTTGTGTGAGAACTATATTGCTCACAGAATTCTGATACCACATAAACATGGAAACAGGGAATTCATTTACCTGATCTAATTATAAGCAGAAATGGCCTCTCAGGGGAATATTCCTTCCAAAATGAACAGGTTATTTTATAACAGAATCACTCAGAAGTACAGTATTTTAAATACACATTTGGAGGACAGTAAAAGAGAAGGACAGTAGCAGATGATCATTTGAAACCAAACTTCTTCAGTATTCAATATTTTATCCTTCAGCCCAGTTCTTGGAAAAGCCCACTGGGAGAAAATTAAAGTTGGTGACACTGGCAACACTATTACTTTCACAGTGCTCTGTGAGGAGCAACATGCCTTCACTACATCCTCTCATCAATTTCTGTCTGAGTGGTGGAGAAACAGCAGCTAAATTGGCTCCAGAGAAAATCTGCTGAAGGCTGGAAGGCCAGAAAGAGAGTCTGTGACTCCAAAACCTATATTCTTTTTACTACGTCACATGTGGGATTATACATGGTGCTTACCAAAATATCTTCAGAATCATGACCATCGCTGACTGACAGTCCATTTAACTGTTGCTGCAACTGTCCCATGGCCTGAGGCAGGTCACGTGCTGGAATAAACCAGTCTTGGTCTTCCTCATCTAGCATCTCCTGAAAGCAGCGGTCCAGGAAGTCTTGCTCCTGCAGCTCCTCCTCCACCTAGCAAGCAAAGGAGAGCAGGAGAGATGTACTAATCCAGGGGACTCATCCCTTCCATGGTTTTCCCCAATCCTTTCCTTTCAGAGGTTATTACTCTGAAACTAAGAATGATTTTGTATAAAACCCAAGAATTAAGATGTTTCTAATGACTGCCTAGAGAAAACAAAATTTTAATTTTTAATTTTTTAACTGAATTCCAACAAGACTAAAGAGTTATCCAAAATAGCAGAAATCCTAGGTCTTCACAGATCTTGTAAGAAATATAATATGTGACAGATATTTTCCATTTATATAGCCTTACAGAAATTCATCTTATAGGGCCAGGGATTTAGCTCAGTGGTTCTGGGGCCTGCCTCACAAGTTCAAGGTCCTGAGTTTGATCCCTGGTACCAGAAAAAAAAAAAAGAAATTCATCTTACAGCTTGAAATTCTTTTAGAGAAGGAACTCTTTTTGAATGTCCCATTTTGTGGGAAGTATGCAAAAGAGACAAGTAGTGTATAATTACTACTTGGCTAGTGAACATTAAATCAAAACCAATCTCAGCTCCTGGCCAAGTTTTCTAGTAATGACACCCTTAAGGTAGAAAAATAAAAAGGTTTTAGAACCTTAGAAAGATACAAAGAATGCATTTTGGCATATCACTGGAAAAGTATCCCATCAATGCAGTATTCTCTCAAAACAAGAAATACATATATGAATATATAAACAATTTCATATTTCAAATAAAGTAATATAAATCTAGGATATCTTACACATCTTTGCAGACACTGTACTCTTAGTAAGACTATAGTACATTCTGCGGGTTTTTTGTTTTGCTTTTTTTCTGAGATGGGGTCTCATTTTAGGTAGTCAGGCTGGCCTTGAACTTGCCATCCTATTGCCTCAGCCTCCTGAATGCTTGAGATTACAGGTGTGTGCTACTATGCCAGGCTCACTCTGCAGATTTTAGTATGACTTTACATGGCTTCCTAATTCATATTTGGTAAATCCCTCTTTCCTTCAGTCTGCTTGGTGACAGATACACAGTTTACTAGTGCCACCACCAGTCAGAGTCAAGCAAAAGATAATTCAAATTGGCCTACTCTTACCTCATGAATTCAGAAGAAAAATCACTTGTAGCAAGACTTAAAAAAAAAAAGTATTTCAATGTCACAATTGGCCAGACATTTTCTTAATCTCAAGTGAATTATAGTTATGAAGTTCTTAAAATAACTACAGCAAAACATTTCCAAGCTACAAGATTTAATATGACGTTGTGTTTGAATATGTCCTGATATATTCTCTCTCAATTCTTTTTTTATCCCCCCACCCCACCCCTGCACTTGGTACTGAAACAAGGGGCCTTGTGCATGCTAGGTAAGCACTCTACCACTGAAGTACACCCCCAGCCCTCCCCATTCTTTTATATATTCCCTTTCTGAAGGATTTTACTTCTTATGTTTCTGTTTTAAGGCTTTACCATGTGAACCCCCCTTTTTTTGTACCAGGGATTGAATTCATGACCTTGCGCTTGCGAGGCAGATGCGGTGCCACTGAGCTAAACCCCTGGCCCATGAACCCATTTTTTAATTGTAGCAATAATCCATTTTCTTTATATGAGTTTTCAAATTAAAACTAAGAACATCAAAAGAGACAAAGGTCACCCTTAATCTCAACACTCAGACATGGATGAATGTTGTTGATATTTTGGAATATACCTATTGTGACTTTTACTTACTAGACTTTCACAGGAAATTGATAGGAGCTTAGAGTAAAAAAACAAAAACCCTAGTTAGAAATGTATATGCAAAAGAACCGTAAGATTTAAAAATTCACCAAACATTTTTCATATCTTTCCTCATGGTAGATAGATGAGTGACAACATATATTACAAATTACATGTAGTTAGTTTTTGCTTTTTTCAGCCCCTGAGTCTAATTTTTCCTTTTCTCTTAAAAATTCTGTGTTGAGTGGGGCATGGTGGCATACACTGATAAACCCAGAACTCTGAAAGATTTAAAGCAGGAGATCACAAGTTTGAACCCAGCCTGGGAAACTCATTGACCTGTCTCAAAATTTAAAAAAAAAAAATTATGTGTGTAGGATGAGGGATTTATTTCATAATTATAACTAGTATGTTTGATCTTACTTATTCCCTTCTTTCCTGAGTTATACTTCCTGAGATCGTGAATAAGTGATATTACCTTGAGAATTTGTAAGGGTTTATATCTAGATGTCCCCACAAAGCCTCATGTGCTTATAGATGGGGCTTCTGGGAGGTGATTGGATCATGGGGGCCTGACATGCAGCAGTGGACTAATCAGTGGACTGATTAGTGGATTAGTCCACTAATAAGTTTATCGCTAATATTGGAGGAGGTGGGTCACTGGGGGTGTTGCCTAGAAGGGTGTATCTCCTTCCCTCCTCCCCTGATATCTCTCTGCTGCCATTCCATGAACTATTTCTCCTCTGTGATGCCCTTCTGCCATGCCACCCTGCCTTGGAGACAGCTGACTATGGACTGAAACTTCTATAAATTGTGAGCCAAAATACATCTGTCTTCCTTTGGGCCAAGGATTTAGCTTAGTTGTGCGGTGCCTGCCTTGCAAGCACAAGGTCCTGAGTTTGATCCCAGCACATCCTGGCACCAAAAAAAAAAAAAGAAAGAAACAAAAACCAAAATACATCTGTCTTCCTTTGAGTTGTGGGTGTTGGATATTATGTTTTAGCAACAAGAAAGTAACTAAGACAAAGTTGATTCTTTTTCCCCTGAAAACTACACTTCAATCCAATTCTATCAGCCTCATACTCAATGAATTATCTTTGCAGATTTTAGTATGCCTTTACTTGGCTTCCTAATTCATATTTGGCAAATCCCTTTCCTTCACTCTGCTTAGTTTTGGGGGTTGCAAGGTTTTTTTGTTTTCGGTACCAAGGATCAAACTCAGGACCTTGCACTTGTTTGCGAGGCAGGCGGCAGCACCACTGAGCTAAATCCCCAGCCTGTAAGGTTTTTTTCATACCACTGTCTTGAGTTGCATTTTAAGGAGAAAAAAATTGGATTCTAGCTAGCAACCCTGAAACAGTATCTTTGACTTTCCAATAAAATATCTAAGAAAAAACAGTAAGATGAAACAATTTGATAGTGATAACCTACAGCTCACCATAGTGAAAACAAAATAACCTACCAGGGTACAGGGAGAATTGATATCAATCAAATCCCAAATCCTAAACACTCCTGTTCTCAAATGAAGGACAATAAGGCTTCTCTGAAATACTATCAATCTCCCACATTGACATCATGTAATAGTTCAAAATAATGTTGTCAAAGTACTATTTCCTGTGAAACATTAGGGTTGGGAAATTTGAGCAAACAATTATTTACCTACTCAGCCCTTTTAAAGGCCTGCTATTTACTGCAATCATTAAAGTTGCCAAGGATATAGTTGTCATTGTTTTCCTAGTACTCAAACAACAAGTTATAATTTTTAAGGCTCCTAAACTGTTTTTCATCAAGCTCTGTATGTGTTGTGTGTGTGCATGTGCGCACATGCATATGTTTCTGCAAACTAGCTTTTCAGTACTTTTCCACACACCTGCCCAGGTGTGCTAAACTACATAGAAGCTCACAGCTGATCCAAACTACAGACATCTGGCTCTTAATAGTCCAAATCCTAGTTGGCAGGATTAAGAACATGTTGAGTATAATCACCCAGAACAAATGGATTATGCTTTCTACAATCTATTATTATTCATTCAGAGGCTAGATAAAGACAGAGTGGAACAAGGAGGTCACCACAAAAGCCAAATACAACTATTCTAAAACCCCACAGGAAATATATTTATCTCCACTCTGAGTTCTTAATTGTCTATTACATCTGCATTTATTCTCAAAATGAAATGCAGAGTATCACATTTCCTATAAGCAAATAAAATCAATAACCGCCCAAGTATAGAAAAACTCACTACCACTGTACTGTTCCTTATTTTTCCACAGTTCAAGCTATTCATTTCATGCTAATCATATGAAATCATGCTAGGCATGGTGGCACACGCCTATAATCCTACCACCTGAGAGGCTGAGGCAGGAGGACTGGAAATTTGAGCCCAGCCTGGGAAACTTAGAGAGACCTTATCTCAAAAAAGAAAAAAAAAAAAAGGTTGACAATGCAGCTCAGTGGGAAAGCCCAGGGTTTAATCCCCAGTACCACACACACACACACACACACACAGCTGCAGTCATCACAGGCCCTCAATCCTCTGGGGTTAGGGAGAGTCCTGTTTGATTTAAACTCTAGGAATCTCCTCGAATGTTTTATAATCACCTACAGAAATGCAACAAACAATCTAGTCAGAATGACGGTGCAAGCAGGGCTTCTCCATAGCAATTACTTCGTAACTTAATATCATAGTGCAAATACTATTATACAGAATCTATTTAGTTATGCATGGGCTGGCTCATCAGGTAAGAATTTTCAGCTTAAATTGATTAATTTAATGGCTTTTGTCCTCTTTTAATCAGCATGGTAGAGAATTATCAGTATGTTCCTGGATTGGTCTTGTCTTTTAGCACCTGAAGATGCTTCTTAGTTATTCTAATTGAGGCCTCGAAGTATTTTTTGAAGTCATTGTAAAGGCAACTGCACCCACTTCTTTTGTCTTTCTTTTTGTCACAGTGACAGTAAAATATTACAGCTAAGTTGCGTGTAACATTAGGCTTTCACTTCTTTCTTCACCTGTCTGTTGAAATCCTCTTCGTTCTCCATCCACATGTACTCTGCAAATGGGTTTTCCTTCTCATCATGGCCATTGAACCCCTGGTCCTCTTTGGATTTTACACTGGGTGATGTATTTGCCATGCTGGATCCATTCATTATGATAGACTCTAAACAGGAGCAAAAGAAAAGTTAAAAAGAAAATAAAGATCAAGAAATGTAAACCTAAAACATCCTAACTTTTAAAGTAGCTTTTAAGGCCAGGGATTTAGCTCAGTGGTTTTGCCGCCTGTCTTGAAAGCTCAAGGACCCGAGTTCAATCCCCAGTACCAAAAAAAAAAAAAAAAAAAGTAGCCTTTAAAGTTCTGAGCCAAAGATTTTAACTTAAATGAAGAGAAACTGTTGAACTATAACTGTTATAAAAATCAACTGCAGGGCCGGGGATTTAAGCTCAGTGGTTCTGGCGCCTGCCTCGAAAGCACAAGGTCCTGAGTTCGATCCCTGGTACCAAAAAAACCCAAAAAAAACAACTGCATCCCCTAGAGATATCTAATTATAGATGTATAATTTTTTTTAAAGTTTTAGTTTATTAGTACATGTATGTAATGTACATAATGTAATAGTACATTATTTGTGGGAAGTTGGTACACGTACATGACACATCCCAGTTCTTTTCTCATCCCCTATCCCCTCTCCCCCCTCCTTCTATCTTTGATACCCTTTCCCTTTGAGAAAGATCTATCTCCCTACTACCTATCATCTATCTTTTGTTTTGCTCTTTATTTTTACTTTGGGTTTATCATGTAAGAGAAACCATGTGACATTTAAGTTTGTGTGTCTAATTTATTTCACTTAATATTATGGTCTCAAGATGTATCCATTTACCTACAAATGACTCAAGTTTATCTTTATGGCAGAGTAGTACTCCATTGTGCATAAATGCCACATTTTCTTCATCCATATATCTGTTAATAGACATATAGTCCACTTCCAAGATTTAGCTATTTGAGGGCTAGGGATGTAACTCAGTGGCACAGCACTTGCCTGGCAAGTGTGAGGCCCTAAGTTTGATTCCTGGTACCAAAACAAAGAAATAAAAGATTTAGCTATTATGAATTGTGCTGCTATAAACATGAGTATGTATGTATTACTAAGGAAGTGAAAGACCTCTTCAATGAAAACTACAGTACTCTGGAAAAGGAAATTGAAGAGAACATCAGCAAATGGAAAGATAGCCTCTTTTCCTGGATAGGCAGAACCAATACAGTCAAAATGGCCATACTTCCAAAACTGATAATACAGATTTAATGCAATCTCAATCCAAGTTCTAACAGCATTCTTCACAGAACTGGAGAAAACAATCCTAAAACTCATATGGAACCAAAAGAGACCCAGAATAGCAAAAGCAATCCTGGATAAAAAGAGCAAAGCAGGAGGCATCACCACCCCAGACCTGAAGTTATACAGTATTACCATGCTACTGTGATAAAGACAGCATGGTACTGGCACAAAAACAGACCTGAGGATCAATGGTATAGAATAGAGGACACAGAAACAACCCCAAGAACATTCAACTATTTGATCTTAGACAGAGGGGCCAAAAATACACACTGGAGGGAAGACATCCTCTTTAATAAATGGTGCTGGGAAAACTGGCCGTCCACATGTAGAAGACTGAATCTAGACCTCTATTGCTCACCATCTACTAAACTAAAATCAAAATAGATCAAGGAACTAAATGTTAAACCACAAACACTCTGCTGGAAGGCAAAACTTTAAGTCATAAGGCATAGCAAGGACCTTTTGAACAAAACCTCAGTTGTTTGATTCTCCAAACTACAGGAAATAGCTTTGAGAATCAACAAATGGGATCATTTCAAATTAAAAGATGTATGATTCTTGAAGGATTAAAAAAATGGTTAGGCATAGTCTTTCTAGATAAAAGCAGTAGGATGGAGTAGAGGATAGGAATTTTCAAATGCCAAATTCCTCTACAACCTAATCAGAATACCTTTCTTAATGTTTAAATAGGAAGAGAAAGTGTATTCTTAAGAAACATTGGAAGCACTACCTGCTCTTTTTCTGATTCTCAAGCTCATTTTCTTTAAAATGTATTTCAAAAAATAATACATGTTCACTGTATTGATAAGCAAAAAGGAGAAAAAATTCACCACCCATCCCACTATCTAGAGTTTAGAACAGCTAACAGTGTGGTATGCAGAGCCTTCCCAACACCCCCAGTGTGTATGTAGATACAGATAATATGCACACATTCCCCAAGTATCCATTCTTAATAGTAACAGGATCATAGGACACATGATGCTCCACTATTTGTTTTTTCTCATTTCTGTCAATGTAGCCATACTATCTTTTGGAGTGTGTCCAATGTTTCTGTATTACAAAGCCTGGATGAACTTCTTGTGTTCTTCTTTTCTAATGATTTCCTGAGAGTAGCTCCTAGAAATGGAACTGCTGCATTGGAGAGGGTGTTCATTTTTTTTTCCTCCCAGTACAGGGAATCAAAATCAGGATCTTGCACTAGCCAGGCAGGCATGGCACACTGAGTTACATCCCCAGCCCTGTGTTCAATTTTTTGAAGGCTCTTGATTTATTACCACCCTGCCATAAGAATTTAAATTCCCCCTAGTATTATTTAAGTGCCTGTTTCCTCACATTGAGTATTGTTATTTTAAAAACCATTCCCAGTCTTTTAAGAGAAAATCTGTATTTTTTTGTTTAAATTTCTTTGATTTTTGCTGGGGCTGAATATTTTAAGATATTTGAGATGTTTGTTTACTGGTTATTTTTCTATTGAGATATGTAACTTTTCCTTATCTTTTGTAAGAGCTTTTATTACATTTTCCATAATTAAAAGTAATTAAAAAATACTTTATAACTAAATTTTCATTTTTTGGTCTTTCCTTTCCTTTCTTTTCTCTCCCTCTTTCTTTCTCTCTTTCTTTCCTTCCTTCCTTTCTTTTGAAACAAGGTCTCGCTGTGTAGTCCAGGCTCACCTTGAACTCACAGCAATCCTCCTGCCTCAGCCTCCCAAGTGCTGGGATTACAGGCATGTGCCACCACACACAGCTGCCAAAATTTTACAACTATAATAAATATAATGTTTATTACATTTGCTTAACTTCTTGATAGTTTTTACTAGGTTGAATTTTTGTCTATGACTAGTGTATGCCTGTCTATGGCTTTTAAAGGAGCATATATATTAAGAGTTATTTATTTTGGCTTCTAGATCTATTTTGGTATTTTTGTTACCATTTGGAATAATGCCTTTTTGTTGTTGTTGTTGTTGTTCTTTACCTAAATCTTAACTATTCTTCAAAAAACAGTCCAGTCTTTACTAACTTCTTTCCTTCTCTAAGTTGTTGTACCTGGGGAGTATAATGTTAATACTACTTAATTGTTCGTTTCATGTGCATAATGTTTTCCCTTCCAATGAGATTCTCAACTCCTGAAAAACAAGACTGGCATGTATACATATTTGTGACTCACTATATAGTATTAGGGATTCCATAAATACTTGTGGTCTCGTACTTTGGCAACTTTCTGTATCCCATTTCCTTTCTACCACAACTCCATTCCCACCCAGACTCTCCTTGAGGCTTCTTTAAATTTTCTTTAACATATTATTTTCCTCTTGTTTCCATCTAGTCAACACTCTTGAACTTTTATTTCTCCTTCTCTTTTTATTTATTTATTTATTTTTTGGTACCGGGGATCAAACTCAGGTCCTTGTGCTTGCGCAGCAGGCGGCGAAACCACTGAGCTAAATCCCCGGCCCTTACTTCTGCATCTCGGTAAACTAAAAACTTGTTTTAGCTTTTTTAGAGTTTCTGCAATTTCCTTATCTGGATGGACATCAGAAATGTAATCTCATAAAAAGACAAGGCAAAATTGTAAAAAGTAAAGAATAAATGGAAAACTCATTGGTAATTCTAAAACAATTTCATTTAAAACAAAATCCATTTAATTCATCATAGGTTTAAAAAGGAGACCTAGTATGAAATACATCTGTTTAATATATTTTAGATAGAGTCAAAAGTAATCAAAGTCTATTCCAAATAGATTCATAGTAACAGTTACATAGGGTTGGGGAAGAAAGGAATAGAGTGTATAGTTCTTTATTTTACCACTTCCATTTCAGCATAACAATTAATAGAAGGAAGTCTTGAAATGCCAGGGCAAATCTATAAGTAAGCATGGTATTCCTAAGCACAGAGACTTAAAGGTCCTCAACTTTGGTGGACAGCAGGTTATGCTGTATTATATCTCCAAAAACTTATTTGGCAGTTGTTTACAGCCAGCAGTGATTTCTCCCCAGCAATATGGAAATCATCCATAGAGAATCAGGGTTCAGTTTTCTAAAACATTTGCCTTCATCCAAAAAATAAATCCTGACCGCACATGATTGTATGGAAAAAGAAGGCAAAGAAAGAACAGAATAACTCAGCTGACTTAAGAGCTAGGTGAAGCAGACAGAGAAAATTGCAGGATGTACATGTTCATGAGAAAGGGAATGGAAAATTACCATAAAGTCAACATGGGGATGTTTATTTTGGGTTTTATCCATGTTTCCCAGTTCATAACTCCCATAGTGTTTGTTATTTCAGTATGGCTTCAGAGCAACAGAGGTGAAAGAGAGTACTTCTTTCTCTCCTTTTATCTTTCTCTTTCCCTCTCCCTCACTCTACCTCCCCTCCCTCTTGACCCCCCCGCCCCGTTTTACCTGTTCATTTCTTCCAAAGACAGCACAGAAACTAGAATTTCTTTTTCATACCAGGTCTTAGGAACTAAAACTATAATCTCTACTCCCCCTTCTGTCTTAGAGCTGGCCATAAAGAAATTCTCTGACCTATCTTGTGTAATAGTAGATCACAAGATCCTCTCTTTAGAAAGGGTCCTGTGCCTTAGCAGGGAGGAAGGAATATGTTGCTAAGACAGGAAAAGAAGGATCTCAACAGACAGGCTTTGCTGGATCACCCCACTCTATCAATTAACATTAGATCACATATGCTTTTTGCCCAACCAATTTGCTACATGGTTATCCATACTTTAATCATACTTATGCAATAAAGTCTCAAAAAAAAAAAACCTCAACAACACAAAAAGAATGAGTTTGGAGAGCTTCTGGGTAGCTGAACATGTGGAGGTTTAT